CACGTAGAACCCTCGACTCTTGGCATGCCAACTATACCTATAGCTCTCATATCGTATACCATGGGCATTATTCTTATATTTCATATGTTCATGTATTCATGTCATTTCTATTGTGATCATATATCTCATATCACTTACCATGTCACATGTGCATTTAAATCTATTCACATATATCATTTATCAAATCATATGAACATATATACTTTATGCATGTATCATAATAATTATCATGTATGCATGTTCATAACTATTGTGATATGAAAATCATCATAGGAATTAGACTTATCACAAGTCTTATTCCATTGTATCATACTTCTAATATGTACTCACCTTAGCCTTGCTTTGACTCGATTCTAATCCTTCAATTGTTCCAGAACGAGATTACGTTCTAAATCTACATATTAATACATTGATACATATCAATATACTAATTGATATATTCTAAACTATCATTCCTTAGGCTAATAAGAAAGCTATTTTTATCTTTTAATGAAGGTATGCATCGATGCATCCCTTGACGGGTGCATCGATGCATTGTCTATGTATCGGTGCATAAATCACATTCGATGTTTTCATTTTTAATGGGTGCATCGATGCACTTCCTGTGCATCGATACACACTGAACAATTTCTGGAAATACCCTAGATGCATCGATACACATTGAATGTGCATCGATGCACATAGCCCAGAAATGCATTTTAAGCTCGAAACCCATCAACTCTTCACTTAATTCTTCTATTTTAAGCCCCTATCATGTCATTAAACTCAATTACCATTACTTAAACCAACTTATATCCATATAAACCCTCTTTATCTTCCATATCTCATCATGATTCTTAAAATTTAAGAATCTTACCAAACTTTCAACTTTGATATTAATCCTTTCCAACTTCACAAATCTCTTATTCTTATTGATGGCAAGTCAAATTCAACTTTCAATTCTTATTATAAACTCTATTTCAAGATTTCACTCAAGAACTCCAAACCTTTAATCTTCCCTAACTTCTTTATCTTTTGATTTTAAGATAACTTAAGCTTTCCTTAAGCTTAGTTATACTCTAATGATCATAACCAAACCTTAATTTAACCAGAAATTATCTAAATAGAAAACTCACCTTTGCTTGGCTTCACACGTGAAGAAGAAGAGAAAGGGAGAGAACTCTGGAAACCTCTAAACTTTGTTTCCTTCATTCCACGTATATCTATATATACCATTATTAAATACTTTTTTCTTTGCAATTGACCATACTATCCTTTCATTCCTCATTCTTTTTAATTTAATCCTACACCACATTTCTCATATAAGTCTTTAAACCATTCAATTATTCTAATTAAATCTCCAAATTTTGAAATCTTACAATTTAGTCATTAACCCGGTATTGAGGATGTTACAAATCTCCCCTCCTTTTAAGAAAATTCGTCCTCGAATTTTCATTACACATACCAATAAGAACATATCTTTTAATGTTCTCTTGCTCATTTCTCTACTTTATCTCCTTACAATTTATAATCAATGATTTGCTTTCACTTCCCCAAACACCCAATCCATTTCTAATTAGCTTATAACCATAACCAAACTTTAAATCTTCTTCAAATGTGATTAAACATATACTTTATATAATCAAACAATCTTCTCACATCTCCTTGCACACTTTTCGTGTTTCTACATCGAACTTATCATCTACACTTCTATATAACCTTTATCATACTTACCCCTTTGTTCAAATCCATAACTCTGATTTCATTCATCTTATAAACATATCACTGATGCACTTATTCTTAAACTCTTCTACAAATGATAACAACCTCACTTAATCTTTTAACGCTTTTATGGTGACAATTGTTCACCATATTCTATCTTATCCAAAAAATAACAAAATTACTCCATATCACTTTTCCAATTCAAAACAATGAATACCTTATATCACTATTCTGATATAATTTCAAATTCCTGAAATCATCATTTGAGTTTACGAGGCATTTCCTGATGTGTCCACTCTTCATCCTGCCTGGCCAGGCAGGTGAATAGCTGTAACAATCAGGAATATCACCTTTCACTTTATTTTGAAATTATCATAATCATACTTCTATTATAACTTAGCAATCTAATTCTATTAGCAAGACAACACACTCCTTACACTATCATATCAGAAATTTTTCACTTTATGTTGGCATGTACACATTTTTAATACTCATTTGACTTCAGTTTAAGCCTAGAATCGGCTAAACCTTAGCTCTGATACCATTAAATGTAACACCCTCAACCCGTACCCGACCTAGATACGAGTCCGAGGTGTCACATTGACTTTTCAAACTTTGACTCTTGACGAAAAAAATCAAGGAAATTTAAAACTTTCATTAAAATAAATTGTTAGTATACAAAAGTTAACCAAAAACAAGGCAAAACTGATCAGAGCATTTGTAACAGACATTTTTCTTACATGCCAACACTATACACAACAAAAGACATACTTTAGTCGTTACTTCTGATCTGATCTTCTAGCAGTGCTGCTGTTCTTGCCACCCTATTTCCACTCTTCCTGATTCTTGATACCTACGTGTAAATCACTTACACGCTAAGTCATAGACTTAGTGAGACATATAAATATAATAATAATGCATTCTGTATGAATATGAACATGCAATCTATCCATTCAATCATGTCATATACAATTCAATGTAAACAATAATAATATGGTAACATATAACTATAACCATGCAATTACCTTTGATAACTTTTATAGTCCCATGTACATTTTTGAGAACTCAAGGTATTCGAGTACATTGAGGTTGTGCACTACGCTGTCACCACAGCTCGTATGGGTCCCACTAGGGGCTATGAAATTTTGTCCCGAATGACCTATGTACTGTATTTATCCCGAATGACCATTCCTTAAGAACCATATACATATTCCAGTGGATCAAATCTGTCTCAAAAGACACTTTAAATGTTCCAAAGGATACATATATGTCTCGAAGGACCACATAGAACCCTCGACTCTTGGCTTGCCAACTATACCTATAGCTCTCATATCGTATATCATGGGCATTATTCTTATATTTCATATGTTCATGTATTCATGTCATTTCTCTTGTGATCATATATCTCATATCACTTACCATGTCACATGTGCATTTAAATCTATTCACATATATCATTTATCAAATCATATGAACATATATAGTTTATGTATGTATCATAATAATTATCATGTATGCATGTTCATAACTATTGTGATATGAAAATCATCATAGGAATTAGACTTATCACAAGTCTTATTCCATTGTACCATACTTCTAATTTGTACTCACCTTAGCCTTGCTTTGACTCGATTCTAATCCTTCAATTATTCCGGAACGAGATTACGTTCTAAATCTACATATTAATACATTGATACATATCAGTATACTAATTGATATATTCTAAACTATCATTCCTTAGGCTAATAAGAAAGCTATTTTTATCTTTTAATGAAGGTATGCATCGATGCACTACACCATGTATCGATGCATCCCTTGACGGGTGCATCGATGCACTGTCTATGCATCGGTGCATAAATCCTATTCGATGTTTCCATTTTTAATGGGTGCATCGATGCACTTCCTGTGCATCGATACACATTGAACAATTTCTGGAAATACCCTTGATGCATCGATACACATTGAATGTGCATCGATACACATAGCCAAGAAATGTCATTTTAAGCTCGAAACCCATCAACTCTTCACTCAATTCTTCTATTTTAAGCCCCTATCATGTCATTAAACTCAACTACCATTACTTAAACCAACTTATATCCATATAAACCCTCTTTATCTTCCATATCTCATCATGATTCTTAAATTTTAAGAATCTTACCAAACTTTCAACTTTGATATTAATCCTTTCCAACTTCACAAATCTCTTATTCTTATTGATGGCAAGTCAAATTCAACTTTCAATTCTTATTTTAAACTCTATTTTAAGATTTCACTCAAGAACTCCAAACCTTTAATCTTCCCTAACTTCTTTATCTTTTGATTTTAAGATAACTTAAGCTTTTCTTAAGCTTAGTTATACTCTAATGATCATAACCCAACCTTAATTTAACCAAAAATTATCTAAATAGAAAACTCACCTTTGCTTGGCTTCACACGTGAAGAAGAAGAGAAAGGGAGAGAACTCTGGAAACCTCTAAACTTTGTTTCCTTTCTTCCACGTGTATCTATATATATCATTATTAAATATGTTTTTCTTTGCAATTGACCATACTATCCTTTCATTCCTCATTCTTTTCAATTTAATCTTACACCACATTTCTCATATAAGTCTTTAAACCATTCAATTATTCTAATTAAATCTCCAAATTTTGAAATCTTACAATTTAGTTATTGAGGATGTTACATAACTAAACTCAAATTCATACATATGTTTAACTAAACTCAAATTCATGCATATATTTAAAATATTTATTCAACAAAATAAACAACTTTTTCTCTTATTCTTCCTCTCGATAAGTCGTTTGCTGAGTCGATTTTCTAAGTCTCCATTCTTCTTCTTCTTCTTCTTCTTTTTCTTCTTCTTCTTCTTCTTCTTCTTCTCCTCATCCTCATCCTCTTCAAATTTCATCTCCTTATGTTGATCAAGAATCGACTTCATTGACTCTTTCACCCACTCCTCATATGAAGACAAGCTTAAATCCGAATAATCAATATCATAATAATCAGAAGTAAAATGATCTTTCGGAAATTACCTGAAATTTTCTTCCTACAACTACAAGATTTGGTTCCCATATAACTCTATCAACTAACCCATCTACTATTTATATATTAAATATTCTCAAAATGACCGTTGGAACTCGTCCTGTGGGCGTGATGAGTTCCAACGACTATAAAACGAATATGTATTCAAATCCAAAGCAACTCGTCACCTCGAGGTGCTCACCTTTTTCTTGAAGTAGCCGGGCTCGGCAATTTTGTAAAGGTATAATTTTTGTGATTAATTTGCTTTCCTGAAGGCCACATCCTTTACTTTTACTTCAAAATGTTTCATTTTTGGGTTTAAGAAGGCATTATACAACTGCACGCTAAATACTACCGTACTTTGTTGAAATTTACTTCTCTATATTATGGGAATGGCAGTGGTTGCCGCGAGGGCTACTAGATTACCAATATATTCTTCATTTGCCAAAGAAGGGAATCTTAGCGACCTATTTGCGAAAGGAGAGGCCATATCAACACTTTTCAATGTTGTTGGAATGAGAGTTGGGATTCAGTTGGCATCTACTGTTTGTTCATCAATGCAAGGGAAGGTATTAAGATTGTAATGACATTTGGACTTGCTAAATTGCTAATCCTTTTTTTTATCGTCTCGGTTGCATTTCATTTTACACAAGCGTCGTTTCCTGGCAATTCGGATAGCTGATAGTAATAAGGAATTGCAGATGATTGTTGGGCCTCTTCTTTCCATTGTACATGTGTTGAGTGTCGTTGAAGAAATGCGAGCTGTTCCGGTCAATTCATTGAATCCTCAGAGGACTGCCATGATTGTGGCTGATTTTCTAAAGGTTGGTTTTATTTTTTATGGTTTGGACCCAGAATTTTATATATATGCCAAGGTTTTTCATCCGTCTGATTTTCCAATTGAACTCAACTCAGACTGGAAAGGTATCTGGTCCTGCTGATCTCAGATATCCGGAAGATCTCCTATGTCCTGGACGGCTAATCGAAGATGTTGGGAATGTGAAAGTAGGGAGGGCTTTGCACAAAGTTGTAAAGCCTTCGAAGCTTCAGGAATGGAAAGAAATATTCCCCGAAGAGAAGTTTGTCTTGAGTCCAGGAAATAAATGATCCGACATGTTGTTAGAGCATAATGCTACCGGAGAAGATGCACTAAGAGGTTGGCTGGTTGCTGCATATGCCGCGAGCATGGGGTAGTCCTTCCACGAGACAAGTGCCAGCGTCTTGCAAGATGCTTACGACAAGATGAACATCGTTTTCACTCCATTCCTATGTGAGCTACAGGCTAAAGGTTGGCATACCGATCGCTTTCTTGGTGGAACGGGGACCCGCTTTGCATTTTGATATTCCATCTTTCTCATACTGCCCTACATCAAGAGAATATATATTCATTTGATCAAATTATTATTCTCTTCTCTGTGTAATTTCTATTAGTGTATACTATCTCGTTAAAATGGTCTGTTTTAAAATATTTCATAAAATTTAATTATTTGGAATATTAAAATGATTATGATTAAAATTATAAAAAAATACTATAAAAAATCAATAGAAACCCTTCTAATGAGACGAAAGAAATATTTTCATTCAATTCATTCTATTTTAATCCAAATTGAATTTATTTCACAACGTATTAGAACTACACTTATGTTCTCTTTATAATTCATTATATGACCCTCAAACTATAATTCTCATTCTGAATTAGTCCTTAAACGTTCGAATATTTTAATTTCATCCTCAAACTATGACCCTTATTCTAAATTAGTCTTTAAATATTTGAACATTCTAATTTTATTCCGTAACTAGAACCTCTTTTTAAATTGGTCCCTAAACTTTTAATTTCGGGCCGGCTATGACGGCTGCTTGCGAGTTTCACTCCGGTACAACTCTTTCTCCGCCCTATTCATTTTACGTGCTTAGCTTCGTAAAAAATTTAAAATGTTTTTTATTTAACTAAAAAAATTAAAATATTTAAAATATTATTATAAAATCACGACATTTTTTTATTTAACTACAAAAAATTTAAAATATTTTAAAGTAAATAAAAAATAATATAATTATTGAGAAATAATCATATTTGAAGAAGTTTTATTTAAGTAAAATGTATTATTAAAGCAATAAAATATATGGTAAACTACATAAATATTCACCAAACTTTTAGGACACTTGCATTTTGGTCACTCAACTTTTAAAACTTGCAATACAGTAATTGATTTTTTAATTTATTTTCAGTAAGAATCCTGACGTTACATCCCGTTAATTTGTTATGGGGCACGTTACCTCCCGTTAACCCTCCTTCTTATTCTTAGTATTATTATTATTAACATCAACCTTCTCGTTTCTATCAACCTAACATTAATTGTATTTGCAACTACATAGTAAATTGATTTCTCATTATGATTCCCTCGTGAATTCGATATATGTACCCTTCATGCATGTATAACACAGAAAAGCATTAACCAAAGATAAATTAAACAGAAATTACTCCAGATTTGAAGAAGGAATAACTTGAGCCAACCTTAACATCACGAGGAAGCTGGTCGGGCTTGAACTTACGGTTATGGTAGAAAGCAGAACCACCACCAGTATTTATAAGCTCTCTCAAATGAAGCAAGTTATTGTAACCATCATCTGGAAACCCTAAATCCAAAATTTCCTTACGGACATTCTCCGGCAATGCGTCTTTATCTTTCGCTGCCGCACAAGAGGATCTTCATAACACTCGGCCATAATCATCGTCGTCGTCATCAGGAGCATCCGCGAATTTAGAGTCCACGTTATCGTATTCACCGTCGTCATAGCAGTTTTGTTTTCATCAAAGGTGTCGAAGGAGGCAGGGTTAGAGACTCGGTCATTACCAGGTGAGTCACCGTAAAATGGATCGGATGATTCTCGAGCAAGTAGTTGGAACGTCGCCGATTTCTTTTCTAATTCAGGAAACCTCAGACTTCCATCATCTTCCTTATTATGTATCTGGAAATCTGAACGCTCAACTTTTCTAGCTACCACCTCTAACAAGTCTTTACCTTCTATATTATTCAAACAGTCCACCTTTTCAACCCAGTTGGAGTAATTTTCATCCTGCCTCAACTGACTTGGGTCTTGGGAGATTTCAACCTAGTCCATCAACATAATGGTTAAATCATTTCTCTTAAAGCCCATAAGGTTCATGTCTGCAAAAACTGAATTGAAATCAGTTTTACTTGTTGGATCATAAACTTGATCCATTATGGGAGCCTAAACCCAAACCCAAACTAAATTGATGTCATTACTTACATCATTTAATTAAAGATGTCATTGCTTACATCATTTAATTAATGATGTCATTGCTTACATCAATTTAGTTAGGTGAGAGTTAGATATTTGTTGAATTTGTAATGGTTTAAATTAGTTTATTTGTGTGGTGTAGGATTGTTCTTGAGTAGTATAAATACCCCTTCCCATTTTAGTTTTAAGCATCAAGAAAAATTAAGAGCTTATAAGTGAGTGAAGAAGCAAAGTCTTATAAGAGTAAAGTTGTAGTTCTTGCTTTTGAGTGAGAGTACTCTTGTAATATTTGTTTGAGTTTCAATAAAAGTTGTTTGTGTGAGTGTTTTATTTCCAACAAAGTGGCATCAGAGAGAGTTGGAAAGATCGAAGGTCTCGACGAGAGGAATACGACGCCGCCAGAATTTTCTCAATCTGAGTTCTGACGCACCGCCACGCACCGCTAGAAGACTACTGCCAGAAAATCGAGTTGACTCACCGAGTTGAGCCGAGTTGGAGCCCTTGACCGAGTTGTCCAAGTCCATCCAAAGTTTTTTTTATTCATCGTTCCGGATTCATCCGTGCAATCAGATTTTACAAAATCTCATTATATTGAGAGATATGGCAAATGGTATGGCACCATTCCAAGTTCCGACACTCAACAACAACAACTACGACAATTGGAGTATCAAAATGAAGGCACTTATTGTATCACAAGATGTGTGGGATATCATAGAGAAAGGCTATAATGAGCCTGCGGATGATGATGCTTTTGCTACTCTTACACCAGATCAAAAGACAACTTTGAAGGATTCAAGAAAGAGCGACAAGAAGGCTCTCTACCTCATCTATCAAGCATTAGATGATGATGGTTTTGAAAAGATTTCAAGTGCAAGCTCTAGCAAGGAACCGTGGGAGAAGCTGCAAACCTCTTACAAAGGATCCGAGCAAGTGAAGAAGGTTCGTCTCCAAACATTAAGAGGTGAATTCGAATCCTTAAACATGAAAGCATCTGAGTCTATTTCAGATTATTTCTCAAGAGTAGTAGCTGTTTCTAATCAATTAAAAAGAAATGGTGAAAAGTTAGACGATGTGAGGATAATAGAGAAGATACTCCGTTCTTTGGATCCCAAATTTGAGCACATCGTCGTGACGATTGAAGAAACTAAAGACTTGGAAGAAATGAAGATCGAACAGCTCCAAGGATCATTGCAAGCATACGAAGAGAAGCATAAAAAGAAGCATGAGTTTACTGAGCAACTCCTCAAGCTGCAACTCAAGGATATGCATGAGAGCTCACGCAATGATATAAACCAACGTGGCCAAGGCAGAGGTAGAGGCCATGGACGAGGTGGAAGTCGAGGTCGTGGACGAGGCTGGAATTACAACAATAACAATTCCAACAACAACTATGAGAAAGGAGAAAGCTCAACACGAGGCCGTGGAAGAATTAATCCAAACTCAAAGTATGACAAATCTCAAATTCGATGTTATAATTGTCAAAAATTTGGGCATTATGCTTCAGAATGTAGAGCTCCCAACAACAAAATTGAGGAAAAAGGTCAATTACGTGGAGGAAAAGACAGATGGCAAAGAAACTCTTCTTCTAGCACGAAAGGAAACTGATGGTGGCCAAGCAAATTCCTGGTATCTTGACAGTGGTGCAAGCAATCACATGTGTGGAAGGAAAGACATGTTTGTGGAGCTAGACGAGTCAGTAAGTGGAAATGTTTCGTTTGGAGATGATTCCACAATAGCAGTGAAAGGGAGAGGTAACATTCTTATCCGTTTGAAAGATGGGAGACATCAATTTATTTTAAATGTCTACTATGTGCCCAATATGAAAAGTAACATTTTAAGTTTAGGGCAACTGGTAGAGAAAGGTTATGATATTCATATGAATAATTATAATCTTTCTATAAAAGATGATAAGAATAACTTCATTGCTAAATTACCGATGTCAAAGAATAGAATGTTCTTGATCAACATACAAAATGATGTTGCAAAGTGCCTGAAAGCTTGCTACAAAGATGCATCATGGCTTTGGCATCTTCGATTTGGGCATCTCAATTTTGGAGGTCTAGAGCTATTATCTAAGAAGGAGATGGTGAAAGGACTACCTCACATCAACCATCCTGACCAGTTCTGTGAAGGGTGTCTAGTCGGGAAACAATTCAGGAAAAGCTTTCCAAAGGAGTCAGAGACAAGAGCTAAGAAGCCACTTGAGCTCATCCATACCGATGTGTGTGGACCGATCAAGCCAAGCTCTCTTGGTAACAATAACTATTTTCTTCTCTTCATTGATGATTTTTCAAGAAAAACCTGGGTATATTTCTTGAAACAGAAGTCAGAAGTTTTTGAAGTCTTCAAGAAGTTCAAAGCAGCAGTGGAGAGAGAAAGCGGTAGAAAGATCAAAGCCATGAGATCCGATCGAGGTGGAGAATTTACTTCCAGGGAGTTTCAAGAGTTCTGTGAAGCAAATGGAATTCGTCGACCAATGACAGTTCCTAGATCCCCCCAGCAAAATGGTGTGGCAGAAAGAAAGAATAGAACAATCCTCGACATGGCACGAAGCATGCTCAAAAGCAAGAAACTACCCAAAGAATTTTGGGCGGAAGCAGTATCGTGTGCAGTCTACTTGTCAAATCGATCTCCAACAAGAAGTGTATGGGGAAAGACACCGCAAGAGGCATGGAGTGGAAGAAAGCCTGGCATTTCCCACTTGAGAACCTTTGGAAGTATAGCCCATGTTCACGTACCAGACGAGAGAAGAACGAAGCTTGATGATAAAAGCGAGAGTTTTATCTTCATCGGCTATGATGATAATTCGAAGGGCTACAAGTTGTACAATCCAGACAATAAGAAGTTTGTGATTAGTCGAGATGTGGTCTTCAACGAAGAAGGAGAATGGGATTTTAACTCTCATACAGATGACTTAAATTTCTTTCCTCAGTTTGAAGAAGATGAGCAGACAATGAGGGAGCAACTAGATGAATCTCAACAAGAGCTTGCAACTCCACCCACTTCACCAACATCAACCACTCAAGGAGACTCATCACCTTCATC